ATTTTCGGAACCATGCTCGTCTGTGTAATTGTTGATTCTTTATCATCGAATGTTTGCTTACGACTTAAAAATTTATGTGTGATTTTGTTTCAAACTACTCCCTTAAATACTTAATTACCGCGAATTACAATTAACGTGTAAATTAAAAAATGTACATTCAAGCTACACTCGGTAGCTAAAGGAGTATCGTGTCGACCAAAAGTCACCGGAATTGTACGATGAAAAGCATTTTTACATGTTTTGCGCAGACGTCTGATATGTTGCCCACACTCACGCAAACGTACCCGATAATACCAGATGTGATGGATATGATAGAGAGCAACATAGACTAGACTTTTTTTCTAATGATATTTGTACTTTGAGAAATGAATATGCTGAAGGAAATAAATCTTTAATTAAATGCGTGATTAAATTTGCGATCTGTTCAATTTAAAAATTATAGAAAGAAAAATTACATAATAAGTAAGTAATATATATTTTAAGTAATTTTCTTAAAATATATATTACTTAAAATTTACATATACAAAATTTAATATAATTATCGTATTAATTCGTTCGGTTTATAATTAACCCTCTAACTGGATACCTTCCTCCTGAAAAGTCATTCCGAAAGCGTTTAACTCTTATTTTGCAATTCCCTTCAAAAATGCAACATACTTCTTTCCTTTCCCCCTTTTAGAACTTGGGAGGTCAAACGGGTACAATTTTACGACCCAGTTCGGTCCCTTTGTAAAATAAGAACCAAGAGATCAATCGTTTACAGCTAGCCGTTAAGTTGCCATGGACAAACTTCTTTGAAAGCGTAGTGGAATTCGGTGTTTCTTTCTCCTATATGTTCAGTCACAGTAAAATTAAAACGAAATGAAAGGTAAAAAAAATAGGAAAAAATGAAATAAATAGTATGTTAGAAGTTGAAAAATAATTATATTTTCTTCAAAAAGAAAATTTATTTTTCTGTCATTTTTTAAAAATTAAAATATATATATATTTAGTATTGCGATTTGAACCAGAAAAAATCATCCTGTATTCATTTTTGAATATGAGAGTAAGAAAACGCGCTCACTTTCCTGTTTTTTAAAAAAGTAATGAGGTAAAAGAGCAAAGGCCCTATCTTATTTTTAAACAATAACACAATAAATATTACATACGATGATTATATTTATGAAATAAAACGAATCTTTATCTATTCGGTTATATTTTTAATTTAAAATAGCATAAAAAGGATTTCAATACTTTTAATTTATTTTAATTAAATTCATATAAAAGATATTTTTATGTTAACTGAATATTTTTCGGAAAAAATTTAAATTTTCCTTCCTAGTGTTCTCTTTTTCGAACTTCTTGTATTAAATAAAAATTCCTTTTCTACATTGGCATTTGTGATGGACATAACACACATTCAGTCAATAATTTTTAATTTTAATGGGGGATATACTTCTTCAAATGCGCATGACAGTACTTCTAACCATTTTCTACTCAAGTTAAATTTCTTATCTTTCTGTTTCTTTTATTACAAGGAAAAATGTCACACATCGATAACTACATTTTCACACAATTCAGTCATTACAAATTCTATTGTGAGAAAAGTTCTCCCTTATTAATTTTGTCTTACAAAAAACAGTACACTTAAAACAATTTTGTTCAGTGAAGTTATAACCGACAGTTTCACAATGTATTCATACCAAATTTTAAAAACAAATTTAACACTTGAAAATGTATCCTGTATTAAATTTTTCAGTATACACAAATATTTCCTGCTGTAGGGAAGATATAGTATAAGATGTGGTGTGCGGTTGTGAAAGAATGTTTTCGTACGTGTAGACTATTTTTGAAAATTTAAATTACACTGAAGCAGATCATATAACTGCAAATGAGCCTTATTTTAGTGTGTGCTGGTATCAAAGTAAAACACTTTACAATATTAAACAGCCTATGGGTTTATACTCAACATCAAACTATTCGCAAAATGGCTTACAACTTCTATTCAAATTGTAAAGAAACTGAAATATATAAATATATCTTACTGCAGTCAAAAATATTCATAATATATAAATATCCTATTCATCCACTTATTTCAGTACATTTTAAAAACTGTAGCTGAATGCAATTCTTTATATTTATAAACGAGGCATAAAAGCTCACACAGTCGTAAAAATGTCTTTATCATTTTTAAATACACTACTTTAAAACGTATATGGATTGTAAGATCAGTCGTAAAATCCTAAAAGCTTTTAGAGGAGCTAAAAACATGTAATTTTGGATTGATAAAATGTTTAATATAATACACAAATATACATGTTATTAAGCAAATACATTTGAAAAATCAAACTTCCTTCTCAAATAAACGTAATTGAAAGAAAAATGTTTAATTGCGAATGAGTGGAAATACTTTATTATCTAAGGGGTATCCCCAAAGTGAGGTAATCCTCAAACTCAGAAGCACACCAATCCATGAGGGCCAGGAACTACTGTGCCCATCATAATACACGTGACCATTGGACGCTGAGGTGCATGAACAGATGTCCCGATTTGGTGGTGTGTCTGAAGAGAGACCTTTAGTGTTTAAGACCCGATACAAGCTTGGAACTCATTTATCGACCCAATGTAGCAGGGATGAAAAGGAAAATGTCGACCTTGTGCAGCCCGTTAATAGAACCCCAGACCTGTGGTGTGGAAGCCCTATACACTACCACTCGATCCTATTCGGTGAAAAATAAAAAAAATGTTAGTATCTTATATAAAACCCTAATGAATGAGGGAGTTTAAACTTTTTTTTTCATGTAAACTGTTTAAACCGAAATGGTTAATTATGAACATTTCACAAGTTGCATAAATTAAAATTAACCGTTATAGTTTACATAAATTTTTAAGGGTACAAAAGGTGTATTTCGGCTGCACGAATTAATTTTAAAAGTTATACGGTTACGAAAAAGTAGTACAAATCTATCTAAAGTAGGGTTGGTTACCTTAGATATTGCCGAACACAACAATGTATTGGAAGCCAATTCCACAATTCATTGTTATAAAAATGTATGGAAAATTACAAGATTTATTTTTGCATTTGTAATTTATATATATATAATTTTTCCTGGGAGCTTTAAAAGCTACAGCGGCATCCATCAAAATCGCCGTTCTCTCTGTGTTTTTCCAGATCGCCCCTGACTAAGCCGGCTCTGCCATAGAAAGTGAAAATGCCGGATTTTGTTTGTCAATATCATTTTGTAGCAGGCTGCATTTTTCATGTATTTTAGGTGGTCTTTTTATATTTTCTAGAACAATATCTTAATGTCTGAATTTAAAATTACATAAAATTCTTGACATTCGCATCAATGACCATGATATTTTTTATTAGTATATGAATGTGTCATCACAAACGATTACATGACTAATATTAACACATTATTTTAACCATTTAATTAATATTAAGTATAACATAACGCACACAAATTTTCTAAACTTTAAAATAAATATTTCGAAAACTATTTCAGATACACTCAAAATTTTTTATTCCTACGCTTTAGCTTCTCAGTTTTACTTCTATGTAAGAATTTATTGTAATTGTATTTTCATCAATTTTTTTAGTATATTTTTTGCTCTTAGCATGCGGTTTTCAACTGAATTGTATGAAATCTTCGAAATATATTAAAAGATACCAAAGAAGCTATATAAAATTTGAAATTTTTATTATACTCAAACAATTGCTAAAACTTATGGTAAATAATTTTTAACTGCGCGATGCATTTTTTTTTCGAAACTTCAAATGGTATTTCTAACATAAAATTTCTAGCTTTATAAGGTCGAGATTTCAAAAAATATCCAGATTTTAATTACTTATTCAGTTAGCCTTTAAAAAGATAAATGTTGAGTTATTTTGTATAAATATATATTTTTGAACAATATAGAATTCGAATGTTTTTCAATAGCTCGAATTTAAAATTGATTTTTATGTTTATTTATATGCATAAATGTCTACTGTAAATGTTTCCGTATATTTTTGATTACCATTTATTCAAACTTTCAAGTTATAAAAAAGTGTGTGAAAATCTTCATTCATGTTGTCTTTGATGTAAACTGAAGTTCAAGCACTTAAAATTCAAATATAATTCGGTGTATTTTAACAATATATAACCAGGCACTGTACTTAAACTTGCCTGAACACTTAGGCTTTGAAAACTAAAAAAAAAAAACTAATAAATCTTAATTAGTTTTTTTCGTTATTATTTTTATCAAAGTGTAAGAAAATGTTTCAAATGATTTCATGAAGTTTAAATTTATTCATTTTTAGTGGTTGGAAAATTGAAAGGTTCCAAATTTTAAAGAGTTTGGCGTTTTATTAATTTTTTCGGTATCTTATAATAAAATAATCATGTTTCAAAAACTGAAAGCTTTGATTAAAATAAGAAAAATGAAGCAAAAGAATATACTTAAAAAAGATAATTTGTCTAACTATATAAAATAGCAGATTGCACTGACACGCCCCAACTTGTTACAGTTTAAAAAAATTAATATGAAACCAAAAGGAAATTGTAACATATTTTACTTATGCGTTGGGACTTTTTGGAAACTTTTAAAATACGAGGTAATGAATAAACACTTCCTGGCGTCTAAAGAAATTTCCCCTCGATTTTTTACGATTCCCCCAGGGTCAAAACACGGGGTTCCCTGCGAGCCATAAAACTCCTGCTGTGTTGCTTCCTCCGTCCCTAATTATCTTTCAATATGTTACACCTTAAAAGGGGGATAGGATTTCAGAAAAGTGCGGCTAATCCTCTTTTGAAAACGTTACTTGAAGGCAGAAAAATGCGTGCAGTCCATTTTCGAAGCATCTTTACACTGACGGAATTTTCCGTGCTATCCGGTTGGAGGGTTAAGATCGTATTGTAACTTTAGTGTCTCTCTCTTGAAGTGCATTTTTATTGCAGGAAATACATTATTGTTGTACAGGGGGGGCAACAAAAATTATGATTGAAAGTTGGTTCGCCAGTATTGAAAGTTTGAGAAACACTGGTATACGCCATTAGAGCTAAAATTACTGCAGTGGCTGACATTAGTCTTGCTCTGCAGTAGGTACTCGGTAGAGGGTTTAGAGCGTACTCATTTCGAGGACTGGGTCTCGAAGTGTCCAGTGTTGCTATTTTTTGTCATTACCTCCTCGAGTCAGAATTGTGTAATTTGCGTATCTGCTGCCTTCTTTAGATGTGGTAGCCGTTTCTCAGGCTCCCTCTATGGTATCGAACGCAGATTTCTCGCCATCTGTGGCGACCATGTTGTGCGTATCATTTACCGTCTCCAGTTGATAAGGCAGACACTTGAAAGATACTTTGCTGGGACTGGCCCCTGCGATCTGCCAAGATACTCAGCTTCGTTTACGTTTTCAGCCTATAGATGCCTGTGTGGGTAGAATCTTATAAAATCGTTTGTTTTCCCATCAGGGTGTAGGAGCTTAGCGGCATGTAGTAACTCAAGAATTGCCACAGTTATCCAAGTAATGAACCGTGACTAATTTAATGAGCCATTTGCAGTTTCGTCTTATGTCAGCATGTACCGAGACGTGCATGGCTTAATCTTTCAGACAAGCATATGCTACTGGCAAGATCAACCAGATATCGTGGCCTTGGTAGCCGAGTGGTATAGGTATCGGATCTTGGCTTGCCTTGTCACTAGTTCGAGTCCAGTACCACTAAAGACCCGCCGTGTAGGGCAGCGATGCACTTGAAATCTGTCGAGAGCTGAAACGTCCTCCCGTGGGTGTGGTAAATAGGAGAGGGCTGCCAGATCTGGTGTCGTCCATGTCACTTGACCATGGTTCAAAATTACGCGGTCCTTCGCCAAAAGCCCTCGTGTAGCTGAACAGAGCGACGTTAATATTCGATCAATCAACCAGATATCGTTTGACAGAACGGCCTTCAGCATCCTCTTCTAGATTAATTGACCCACACCTGGCTCGACGCTAGATTGCCATAGGGGTCGAGTGCTTCGGGCAGGTGATGCGCATGCAGCTTCTTCCGGATCGAGCAACACGGACATACCGATAGAGGTTCTCGACTGCGTTCACCTAGGGTCTGGATGGAGCTTAAAAAAGCAAGGAAATCACGTCGTGCCACACATAATGCTCCATCCGTAGTGTTTAGCAACGACTACAAGTACGCCCGATTGGCGTATAACAAGTTAGCGGTAAAAGGTAAATTTTACAGGTCTGCACTTACCTGGAGAGTGGTTTTTGGCGAATAACTCCCGAACTAATCTCACAACGCTATACATTTTCGTCCATCCAATAAGTTGGCAACAGAAGGCAAGTTTGCTTGGATTATCGCATGATAAACTGTCTTATTAGATGGAGACTTTGAAATTGCAATTTCTAAATTATAAAATGGGTACTTCGCATCACTAATCATGAGTGCAAGATATCTCATTTTTTTCGTTACACTTTCTACAAAAATTCTGCGATTACGTACTATGGCTTACATATGCAACGAAAAAAATATTTTAAAACTGGAACTTGAAGTTTTTTAAAAATTATATTTAATTTAGATAATTTCACTTATTGAGAATAACAAAAGTAAATTCAGTTTGAAATAAATTCAGCTTTGAAAATAAGTACAGGTTTTGCAGCAAAACTAACAAAAATCAAATAGAAAAAGTTTACATTCACTGTTTTAGAAATAACTACATATAAAGATTGTTTAAAAATGTTATTGAGCTATTTAATAGCTGGTTGAATAACTCCGCGTTTTGAGAATCTCCTGAATTCGTTTCGGCATTGCATTAACAAGTCTAGTGGTTTCTTCAGTCCTTAACTTCTCCCGTTCGCCCTTAAGAACTCGCTTTAGCGTATTCTTGCTAAATATATTGTGCTGACGAATCCTACGCTCCAGAAATTTCCATACGTGTTCTATAGGATTCAGATCAGGTGATTGCGGAAGAATATGCAGTCGATTTGGGACTTCATACAAGAGCCAAAGCTTCGCAATCTCAGCAGTATGCTTAGGATCGTTTTCGTGTTGAAAACGAAATGACGATCTTAGGCCGATTTCGGCGGATGTTCCCTTTAAATTGTTTTTAGGGCCTCAATGTGTTCATAATTGTATATGTGTTCATAATTGTTTCGATATACTCCAACATGCCAACAGCATTGCTAGCCATACATTCTCACACTATAATTGTACCACCACCGTGTTTTACCATTGTTTCTTCACGTCACAGGGATCTGCAATAGATCCTCCATCCCCTACCTGATAAAGTATTTTGGCGCTGACAAGTGGATGGCCTGAGTGGGAAAAAACAAAGCTTACCGAGTCAGTTTAAGTGATCAGTTAAGTTAAGTGATTGACTGGTAAGGTAATGCAGGCGAATGACGTCACAGTCGGGGGGTAGTATTCTTCCGATTTCGGCGGAAAAAAGTCCTGAGAGTTTTGACACTCAAATAGGAGCTGCAGTAAAGACAATGGTATTAGTTGGTAGCGGTAAGTGAGAAAGCTCTCTAATGGCTGTCCTGAAATTGCGGAAATTGAAATAAGAAATTGCTTGCCTGATGGGTGCAGCGATGAGAATATTTTGAAAAGTTATGAAAATTTAAAGAAATACTAAAATTAAAGATAAAATTATGGAGTAAAAATTTAGAATGTGTGTGTGAATAGTTTGCATTCACCACCGGTGAATGACGAGCAATAATATTAAGGGGATTATATAAATCCAGGAGCATTCTCCTGGGTCTCTTAGTTTTGTTATTTAAGTGGTAAATTTGAATGTCTATTAAATTTAGATTATTTGTATTGGGGATATTATTCAAACTCTTGCAATTAAATTTTTAATAAAGTTTTTAAAAGGTTGTATATCAAGGGTTTTATAGATGCTTTACCATTGGTACTAAATGCTCTTTTTGAAGCATCGTGCTTGCTTGCCTCCTTAATAATTTATGACCTTTTATGCCGAAAATGCAAAATTTTCTCTCATCTGCGAATATCCTCCTGAATTCCGGAGGCTTACGCATATGCTTTTTGCAAATGCTATCCGCTTAAACCGGTTTGTCATTCAAAATATGACTTTCTGCGAGCCACTCGACTACACAATCTGGCATTTTTCAAGATTTTTTTCAGTATTTCCACAATTATTTTTGTTAAACTTGTCGTGATTGTCTGTAAAAAGTTGAATTGAAGTCAGACGTGGCTTTTTTTTCTTTTTCACCAAGTATAAAATACTTTGTTTTTCTTTAATTGGGAGTTTAGATGGACGACCAGAACGCAGGTTTATGGATGTGTAAAATCCTGTGAATTAAAGTTACTAATAACACGCTGGATAGATGAAAACTGCCGTTCAAAGGATCTAGCTATACCCCAAAGATGGTTTTAATCTTTTCACATTTTCACACACATAATTATTAAATGCTTCCAAATACAAATTTCCTTCCTACAGTCGGTCGAAAAAATAGTTGAGCACCGTGACCCTTTCATAAAATGATTGGAAATGGAAAACGATTTATTTTGAAACCATCACGCTTGAAAGAAAAACCATCTCAACGCCGTATTTTTGATGTTTTATTCCCACTTTTTCACATTAAAAGGCTCTTTTTATATGAAAATTGTACATTTTTTACCTACTTTTTATCCAAAACTTGCATTTAAGGTTTCAATCCAAAAGGAAAGTTAAAACGGCTCTTTTGTATGACTCTTGTCCCTTTTCACCCGTTTTTATGTCCCAACGTTGTTTTTAGGGTCTCGATTCAATTATCCTTCAAAATTCTACTGAGAGCAACCATGTATGAACAACACAAATTTTTTTCAGATTTCTCCCAAAAAATCACGGGGCGAGAGAAAATTTTTCATTCCATCCCAGAGAGACGATTTAGACTGGAGTCATCAACAAATGAAATTTAACCCTCTAACCGGATAGCACGGAAAATTCCGTCAGTGTAAAGATGCTTCGAAAATGGACTGCACGGATTTTTCTGCCTTCAAGTAACGTTTTCAAAAGCGGATTAGCCGCACTTTTCTGAAATCCTTTCCCCCTTTTAAGGTTTAACATATTGAAAGATAATTAGGGACGGAGGAAGCAACACAGCAGGAGTTTTATGGCTCGCAGGGAACCCCGTGTTTTGACCCTGGGGGAATCGTAAAAAATCGAGGGGAAATTTCTTTAGACGCCAGGAAGTGTTTATTCGTTACCTCGTATTTTAAAAGTTTCCAAAAGTCCCAACGCATAAGTAAAATATGTTACAATTCCCTTTTGGTTTCATATTAATTTCAAACTGTAACAAGTTGGGGCGTGTCAGTGCAATCTGCTATTTTATATAGTTAGACAAATTATCTTTTTTTTAAGTATATTATTTCGCTTCATTTTCTTATTTTAATCAAAGCCTTCAGTTTTTGAAACATGATTATTTTATTATAAGATACCGAAAAATTAATAAAACACCAAACTCTTTAAAATTTGGAACCTTTTCAATTTTCCAAACACTAAAAATGAATAAATTTAAACTTCATCAAATCATTTGAAACATTTTCTTACACTTAGATAAAAATAATAACGAAAAAAAAAAAAAAAAAACTAATTAAGATTTATTAGTTTTTTTTTGTTTTTTTTTAGATTTCAAAGCCTAACTGTTCAGGGAAGTTTAAGTACAGTGTGTGTGTGTGTGTGCCTGGTTATATATTGTTAAAATACACCGAATTATATTTGAATTTTAAGTGCTTGAACTTCAGTTTACATCAAAGACAACATGAATGAAGATTTTCACACACTTTTTTTATAACTTGAAAGTTTGAATAAATGGTAATCAAAAATATACGGAAACATTTAAAGTAGACATTTATGCATATAAATAAACATAAAAATCAATTTTAAATTCGAGCTATTGAAAAACATTCGAATTATATATTGTTCAAAAATATCTATTTATACAAAATACCTCAACATTTATCTTTTTTAAAGGCTAACTAAATAAGTAATTAAAATCTGGATATTTTTTTGAAATCTCGACCTTATGAAGCTAGAAATTTTATGTTAGAAATTCCATTTGAAATTTCGAAAAAAAAAATGCATCGTGCAGTTAAAAATTATTTACCATAAGTTTTAGCAATTGTTTGAGTATAATAAAAATTTCAAATTTTATTATATAACTTCTTTGGTATCTTTTAATATATTTCGAAGATTTCATATAATTCAGTTAAAAACCGCATGCTAAGAGAAAAAAATATACTAAAAAAATTGATGAATATACAATTACAAATAATTCTTACATAGAAGCAAAACTGAGAAGCTGAAGCGTAGGAATAAAAAATTTTGAGTATATCTGAAGTAGTTTTCGAAATATTTATTTTAAAGTTCAGAAAATTTTGTACGTTATGTTATACTTAATATTAATTAAATGTTTAAAATAATGTGTTAAACTTAGTCATGTAATCGTTTGATGACACATTCATATACTAATAAAAATTATCATGGTCATTGATGCGAATGTCAAGAATTTTATGTAATTTTAAATTCAGACATTAAGATATTGATGTAGAAAATATAAAACGACAATCTAAAATACATGAAAAATGCAGTCTGCTATAAATTGATCTTGACAAACAAAATCCGGCATTTTCACTTACTATGGCAGAGCCG